TATCTTCAAGTATAACACCTGAAGAATTTGCTTCCAACGCATCATGCACAGTGTCCCAAAAATACATACAACCCAAAACCACAGATTCGCAAAAGTGAATCGATAACTCCGTCCAAATTTTGCAATCCGCGAAAAGCAATTGATCGCAACATCAACTTCCGGTCGTTTCGAACAGCTGACAGGTGGCCCATGTATCCTGGCCCGGCGTTCGGACAGAGGTCCTCGAAAAGACAAGGATGCGTGGCTGGTCCTTTAAAAGCGCAAAGCGGCCGTTGACCTCGGCCCTTTTCGAAGTCCGCAAACGAAAATACCTACGCGAGTTGTCCCGGGTGAACCCGAGACGAGTGTTCGGTCCCGAGGTCAACGACCACTTTGCGTTTTTAAAGGACTAGGTGCACGAGCATCCTTGTCCTTCCGGGACCTCTCTGTCCGAACATCCGAACAGGACGATACGACATTGGCCACCTCGGCTGTCAGCTGATCGACACCCCAGAAGTTGATATCGCAATTTTCTATTTCTTCTCGAGAGATCGCAAAATTGTAAGGGATTCGTTTTTGCAGAAGTGATGCATGGCGCAATTTATAGAAAGTTAATAGAGCTTAAGCAACGACATTTTGAAAAACGACGAATTTATTCGGAAGGGTTTATCAAAAGCTGTTCAGAACTGCACGCTTTCTAAATGAAAAGCTGTCGATGCAGGCTGATGTATAACGTGACGTCGTTTTGGAAGAGGATTGAGAATCGGGGATGGCGTCGAAGGGTGGCTGCCACGGCATGCCTAATCGAGCGTACGTTTTCGATGAATTATTCAAGATCGGGCGTCTAGCAGTTGTTATAGGCGGTCGTTACGCGTTTATTCTCATTACCCAACTCGCACCTCTCCGTTTTGGTCCACGTGTTCTCAACGTTGGACATCGCACGAATTTCACGTACAAATTTTAGATCGAACTCCGATCTAAAGATACTAGGATTAATAATAAGAATTTTATTAATTATTCAACTGCTATTTCAAAGCTCAAGATTGGATATCACATGGTTTATGTATTTCTCTTTTCGGTTTACTATTTACCTATTCACTATGTTATACTATTTTTGAAGCACTATGATTCTACAATTTCACAGTGTATTATGTTGTAGTGCTTAAAAATTTGACAAATATAAGTATCGATCACTCGGCAATTAAAATAGAAAGCGAAGATACAGCAAACTGTTATTAAGTTACTGGCGAATATAAATTTGATATCAAACATTTTCAACACCCAATATCTATAATATATTTAGTCCGGCGCCAGCTATACTTAGCGGGTCAGAATTATACTAGAGACACCGGCCGAGTTACACGAATAGTTTATTGCGAAAATAAACCGAGCGTGGTTATAATTGTGATAATATCAGCCACTGCGTATCTTGTTAATTCTAAACGAGTTAGCCTAATGAAAATCGAGCATTTGCATCGTTTCATTTTGTCGGGGACGTAGAACACTGCGTTCTGGCTTAGTTCACACCTGGACGACTTTATAACCTCTTTGAATCTCGTCGCGTGTACGTTTACTCGAGCGGTCACCAACGCGTTTATTCGATCACGTGTAACAAAATTACTATCATTGGCAATGTTTTCATTAATTTTCAATTTTTATTGCATTTTATAGAATAAGACACAATTTAATTCCACTATAAAAAAATTAAGAATGAAATGTAGCTGAAGATCATACAAAGACTTGAATATGTAAGTTTGAAAATGATGTAACACTTTTCTTATATCGCCGAATACTTGTATTTTGTTGTATCACCAAATACTTGTATCTTGTTATATCACCGAATACTTGTATCTTATTATATCGCCAAATACTTGTATTTTCTTATATCACCGAATACTTGTATCTTGTTATATCATCAAATACTTGTATTTTGTTATATCACCAAATACTTGTATTTTGTTATATCACCAAATACTTGTATTTTGTTATATAACCAAATACTTGCATTTTCTTATATCACTAAATACTTGTATCTTGTTATATCGCCGAATACTTGTATTTTGTTATATCACCGAATACTTGTATCTTGTTATATCATCAAATACTTGTATTTTGTTATATCACCAAATACTTCTATTTTGTGATATCATTGAATACGTGTATCTTGTTATATCGCCGAATACTTGTATCTTGTTATATCGCCTATATCGGATACTTGCTACCCGAAGCGTGTTAATAACAGAAAGGTTCCATATCCGAATTCGAAAGAAGTCCCTAAAAATCTGACCAAAAATGGTAGTCTTACGGAGCTTATAAAAATTGACACGGTGGTATATCGAAAGAACAAACGAGGTTATTGAAGCATAGAAGCTTCCGTGAAGGTTTCGTCCATCGAAGGAAAGGAATCAATTAATTCGTCCTTCGTGAAATCGTTGGGACGGCAATAAATTCGAGCAACGATCCACGGCTCGACTCCCGTCGAAGATAAAGTATGTCATCGCCGGCGATGCGAGTCGTGCGCCGATAGTCGCCGGGAAAGTTCTCGTTTTCGTGCGGTAGTCAGCCATTGCCCGAATAAATAGGGTGTCTCGAAAAGGTTCAACATTTTGCTCTGGTATAGGCTTTAACTTCGTTTAGAATAACTGAAAAGAACACCACTCTCTTGGTGTTCTAGGGAATACTAGGGAAATACGTGATGTGATAATAAAACAGGTGATTGTCACATACGTTGATAGTACAACACGTGGCAATATAATAGTACCATACGTAATGTATAATAGTACAAAACTGCTTTATGCAATATAGCGAGAGGGAATGTAATCCGATAATAAGACATGTAGCTTTACATGTACTGTATAGTGACAATAGAACAGAGGCAATATAGCACATTAGTATGACATCGTGCCATATAACGCATGGCGATATAACGCGATTTTCATTCTCCAACGCAATATTTCGTTTCCACTCAACCTACATAACGAAATACATTTAATTACCGGTTTTCTAAATAGCGAATTTTTGCGGTCAAGTAAAAGGTCAGAAATGCGGTTCTATAAAGCCATACCAAATACGCGTTCGCAATCAGTCTGCGAGAACATAAGGCCATAAATCAACTCGCGATTAGCGGTTTATATCGGCAAATTACACGCTTTTTCGACAGATACATAACTACTTGACTTTATTTCAACTGCGGAGTTTAATGTAATACATTCTAAAATCGTGCCATTTCTGCCACAATTGCTGCATAATTTATAGGAACGTAATTTTCAGATTGTGTAAATGAACGGACTCGCGGATCGAAAATACTTAGGGTACTTGTTAGGAACGTTGTTGGTAAAATTGTTAACAAATCGTGGCCAGGTGAAAAGATACAACACAATCGTAATGAACTTGCCGGAGTAACATCATACCGTTCTCGCGTTGTCGGGCAAATTAACGCGGCGACACGTTGCACGGAAACTTTTGAAATAAAATCTGTAAGGCAACGTGAAAAAGTAATGAACATCCGTGGTGCGCGACGCTGAGCTACCATGCTCTATTTAACACAGAAGCTACTGAAAAACAAATTATAGGAGTTTTCAAGACGTTTTTCTTTTCTTTCCGCCGGTACATCATGACCGGTGATGATATTTCTAAAGGTAAAAAAGATCTTCATCGATCGCAACCGTTCGACACTTTGAATACGATATTTCTTCTACGGTGTTACAATTTAAATTCTTATTATATTGCCGTAGATAGAAACAAAAAATTGTTGAACTTCGCGTTACTCCTTGCATATGGGAGACTCTCGTTATATCGCCGCAGATGGACAACAATAGGGATACATTGTACCTGTATGTTTTATTAACAAACCAAAATTGAAGATTACAATATTTATTTCATTACGTTACTGTTTATAGTAGACTCTTGTTATATTGCCAAAAATGCGGTCGCACCAATAGGCAAATGTTCTCCTGATTGGTAACTCGACGTAACATTTGTCCCACTGCAATATTATTTACAATTGATAAAAGTGATTACAACAAAAATCTCGTTATATTGCCATCTATGAAAAGTCATGCCAACAAGAAATTGATGTGCCATAAGCATAATTTTTTGGACAAAACCTTGACCAAGAAATATCAAGAATCGACAGAGGTCCTATTCTTTCGATATATTGCCATTTTCGATTGGACTTTCACGGTAGGACACCCAGTAGATACAATATGCGGCGCCTTTGTAACTTTGCGTAATACAGTGGAACATGGACCGTTCGTCAGCCAAGGCGTGCCTCGAGGCCGTTTGCGTGCTTTTTCGTGAGTGTTAAAGTTGATTCATAGTGTTTCGTTATTAGGTCACGGCTGAAATTTTCGGCCATAATATAGGCACTCATATGGTATTTGGTATCATGATTTTTGTCCCTAGGCCCCTATATGTATTTCTGCATAGTATGTATACTACTAGGTAACTAAATGCAGATATTACTGGATCCTTTAACTGAAGAATTCGTTAAGTAGTTAAGAATCCTACCTCCGTAATCTCTGCACACTTTTTTGTTGCAGGTTCGAGCTGGACTTGCTTTCTTTCCACGTTATGTTTTTCATTTTTTTTCTTTTGTAATAATACAATAGACTCTTTATCATTGACCGATTCAATCGCAACGTCTTTCTTCTCTTTTCGTTCTTCCCTGTTCGAATCCTACCGTCAATTAAACCAGTAAACGAAGTCGAAATTATACCGTGTTTGGTCTCATTTTAATCGGAAAAATGTCAAGAATTAATTGGTAAAAGTTTCATAACGATAAAGTGAAAAATAAAAAAGTTTGATATTTGCATTGGTAGAGTCTCACGGATATATTGGAACCGCGGATCAGGTTACGCTTCTCGGCGCGCGAGCTTCACGGTGTCGCGAGGGGGCTTCCCCCCACTGGTCATTTTTTGCGCGTATCGCGGGGGCCGCGAATCGAACTGGGCACCGCGACCGCCAGGTGGCCAGCCACGAATTGTTTTTCTCACAATTATAATAGGCCCCCGAGACTATATTAAAGGACCGCGAGAAGGAGACGACGGCATGTTTCCGATTCACGTATATGGTCTTTACCTATACGTTGAAAGCGGAAGCATGCTCACATTTTTATGTTAGGGGATAGCAAGTTGGTTTCATACCCGCGCCCCTAAGTACCCCACTTTGGGAATCTCTAATTGAAGATTCCATTTATGGAAAGCATTCTGCTGCTGACCACCGATGATACACGCCATGTCCTCCGCCCTGCTTAACACTGCTCACCATGGTGACAGCCCTGCTTACACTACTCACCATGGTGACATCCCGATGGAAGCTTCCGTCCCAGACCCAATAGGTACACACAGCCCTGAGTGCCCCACACTGAATGCCCTGATCCCTGAACACACACCCCATACCCCAAAAGTTCCACACACCACTAGGTACCCAAGACCTAGTGGTGCCCCATCCCCCAAAATGCTCCACACACCACTAGGTACCCAAGACCTAGTGGTGCCCCAACCCCCCAAACTGCTCCACACACCACTAGTTGTCCAAGAGCTAGTGGAGTGCCCCATACCCCAAACACCACACACTAATTGTCCAAAATCCAGTGGAGTTCCCCAGGACTCCTGAATGTCTAAAATCCAATGGAGTTTCCCAGGACTCCTAAATGCCCCACATCCCTAAATGCCCACCCCAAAAATTGACAAATATTATTATATGTATTAAACACTATTGTACATGTATACTATTAATTACATATGTTTTGTGAATATAGAAATGTTTAACAATTATACTACCGACTGACGAATTGGGTTTCTCATTCGACTCAAGGGCACACTTGACCACCTATACCCTTTGTCAAATTTTATACCCGATGTGTGCACGTCTGTGATCACCGTTGCTCAACTTAATTTCAGGGCAACCTATGGCGCCCCGAACGTCCATGGCTGTCCCCTGAACAGGCCTGTCGCAACCGATGCATCGCGCAACGCGTGTCACGCATGGCATCGACGCGATTCTAAAATAAGCCGCGAATATAGGGCGGCGAGGTGGTGCTGCATCTGCCCGATGGAATTCCATGCTCCGCTTGTTGCGCACCGGCCTTATTGTCGGGGACACCACTTTTACCCCGTGCTTCGCGACCCACCCCAACAGTTCGCCATAGAATTCTTTCTCCCATTTACCGGGTTAACTATCCGATAATATCGCGTCACGATCGTTCGGTAATCGGGGACTGTCGGGTCTTCGACCTTACGGGTCGTTGCTCTTCGAGAATCGGCGACAATGGTGGTCTACCGATACCTGCAACCATCTGAGTTTATAAATTACCCTTCTGGGATTCACTATCACTGTAGACTGTAGACTTGTAGGGTTAGTTAGGATGTTGTAGGAATGTTTTTATTAATATTAGTGGGGGTTGGAGGAATGTGGTAATGAGACGTAGGGAGTTTGGGATGTGGGGATGTGAGGATACACACATGTGGAGGTATGAGGATATGGGGAGACTTGAAGATATAGAGATTTGGAGATGTAGAGATTTGGAGATGTGGACATACAGATTTACTAAAATAGGGACTTGCTCATAAAGAAATCTCAAAGTCCCAGCTCTCTGAAGATACAGTCTACACGTATAGGTATCTAGGTACACCTTTATGACATAGAAACGTGGTGACCCAAAAACTATATAAGAATAGCAAAGGTATAGCAACGTATGGAATTAAAAATGATATATTTTTGCAAATTACAGTCATCTCGTAATACGGATATTTTTCACCTAGCGTCCGATTTACATAATCTGCATCATTTGCATGTAAAATATTATATCAAATAAATTCAGCTGAGATCCATACAAGTGGACGCGGCGGATATTAACGAATATCTGGAACAGTTTTTCAGAATCGAAACAATGAAATATGTTCCGAGCACGAACGATCTAGTTACAGAATGTTTTCGAAATATAAATTAAAGCTCAGGTAGAAAATGAGCGTAAAGCGTGCTCGTGATCGTTGAAACAGCCAACGAAAACAGTATTCCGCCGCTCAAACAATTCGCGAAGTTTCCCTCCATTATAATCGTGCGTCTCAAAGAATAACATCGTAGAATCTAATTGTTCTCTTGCTTATTCCCTGGTACAATTCAATATTTGTTGAATATCTTACAAATTGAGGACCATATAAGACTCGGAATTTAGACACAAATATTTAACGCTAGATTTATGCGGGGTACCAAAATGATATTTTAGATCCCTCATTCTAGGTTGTGGAAATTATCAAAACTTTGTTGAAATTGTGGCGGTTGCAGTACGCTCATCGCCACTAGATGGCGCGTAAGGCCGAGATTTTCTCGCTAGTACTCAAGGAGCGTTCCTACACATACATCCCTTCCATATATTACATCCCTGCGTCGAAAGCCAGGGCAGATGCCCTACTGACGACACCATTAGCAGGTTCTGCACAAAACTCCCTCTCCTTCATTTTCCTAGCCAAACTGCCAAAAAATTTCCATAAACTTCGTCTTTGAAGAATCTTGAGAAGATGAATTTTGAGATTCATCGAATATGAGTCATCTAACAGTTCCGAAATAATTGCCACGTGAATCGTATGATCAGTGAAATAAGGAGAAATAGTGTTCGATAAAATCGGCAGCGGTGAAGTTTAAATTGCATTGGAAGCAGCAGGGCCGTTCGTCATTGTGCTCCGCGGGCGTCATTGGCTTCTTGAACTTCCGCCGAAAGGAAGTGGGTTTTGCGTCCTCTGTCTGGTGCTCCAGCAACCCAGCCGTATCTCTGGAACTTAACTTTTTCCCTGATTGACGTTCGGTTATTGTCGCATTTGCATAACTCGCCGTGGTCCCCCAGCCTTTCGCGTCCTTTTCTCCTGCGCGTCGCGTCTCCGGGACGCTAACCAAGAGACAAGAACGTGAACGAGGACGAGAAGCGAACTAAGCACGAAGGGGGGGCAAGGGGACGTCGGGCAAAGAACGGAAGAAGAATGCGGGAACGACCGCGTGTCAAATCGAATTTGCCTCATTTGCCCCCCACTGCCC